GTGGTATTTTCGGAAAATCAAAACTTTGAATAGTAGTTTTGGAACATTAAACAAATGGTGGTATTTTATTAAACAAAGCTTAAAAGTGTGTTATTTTGATAATTTATCATATTTATATTTACATCCGATGCTTATTATTTCAATTTTTTAAGAAAAATTATTTGTATCTTATATTTAGCATATCTTGAATTTATCATATATTTTTCTAAAGATCTATATCAGTTGTAAACGCGAATCCACGAAATCAAGATGACATCGGTTTATGTAAATATTCTCTAAAAGAAAGGAAAATATGTTTTTATATGTAGTATACAAATCATTTTGTTTTGTAAGTATCTAAATACAACCGTAGCAAAAGCAATTTTATCTACAAAACCACCTGAAAAATAGTCATCAGATGAATCATGTAACTTAATCCAAGAGATTGGAATGTTATACTTTCTCCTCTACCTCAGAATAAGAATCTAATTATCACAACTCTCCACTTTCTTAGGACAACAGCAATTACATCGTCTTTTTACTTATTCAAATTCACTTTTGTTTCCAGACAACTCTGGGAAACATTAAATGGGAAACAAAAAATTAACATGAGTCAAAAAACAACTCTGGAAATATACATTCATCTATAACGACTATGGAAACAAACAATTGCATCAAAGATTTGTATAGGCATACTTAACATAATCGTACCAAGTATAAGCATCATTAAAAGGAGATGCTTATACAGTAGAATGTAAAACTGATTTACAGTCTACAGCTTGTAAGATTAATTTAGAAAAGAAAAAGAACCAACCATATCATACCAAATTGCTTAATCATAAGCCTTACTGCCTCTACTATCGGACATACATACTTTGGGGTGAGAAAACAATCGTAGCTTTTATGGGAATAGACCAAGTTTCTATGAACTTCAGAGGTACATAACCTCTATTGTATCTTTCCTTTCTCTTCTTTTCTCTTTATCTTGATTGACCGACGGTCAAAATAGCATCTTGCTTCCTTTTTCTTTTGTGTAATGGATAACTTTATTAAAATACAATCAGAAATTTTACAAAACAATAAAAAGACCACTATGAGAATATAACAAAGTTAAGTTATTAGAAATTCTTATCTCTTTCATATAACATGTGCAACCAATTAAGTGATTTAACTTATCATGATTCATGAGATGCTAAATAATGAAAAACCATTGTCACATATCACCTTCAAAACAGAGGACATAAACAATTTAGAGATATCATAATAAGAACGATCATGCGAAATAACAAAGCCGGTTAATAGGTATCATAAACCCTAGGACTCGTATTTATATATAGAAAACTGTAGAGAGTGGCTAGGGTTTTCTATAAAACAAATTTGATGAATGGGCCACGATACAGATTTCGTTTATGGGCCATGGTAAAAAACTGACTCAAACTAATAATACTCAACAAACGAATTAGGTGTAAATATGTCGATGGCAAGGACAGTAATTAACTCGATTTTATTAAGGGTACATTTGTAATCAACCACCTTCAAATCGATGAAAGAGTGCCACGTAGGATTTTTTACTTC